CTTATTCGGCCTCTAACTGGCAAGTCAATCAGCCAGTGTAGTTAAAAAAAATCCGTTCCATACTAATTCGCAGCACTGTTTGTTTCCAAAAATTAACACGGGATCCGACTATCTTCTTTATTAATTTATCTATGCTCAAAACTGTACGAAAACCTAGCGTTCCAACACACCCAAAACTAATCACAAACCGATTTGTGTACTGTCATATCAGATATCAGTTCCTGGATCTGAATAGGAACGAATTGTCAAGACATGCGCAAAGCCACAATAATCTAAAACTTAAGGATTTTAATTATATTGTATCTGTCGCCTTTTACAGCTTTAATTTGTATTTGGGTTTAGTCTTCATCATTTTTGTTTATTGTCGTTCATTTTATTTTGTTTTATTGTAATAGTGTGTCTGTTGAATTTATTAAAAATGTGTTCCAACATAACCGATGTTCCGATCCTGAGTACCAATCGTTTATTTAGTTAAAACAAACTATTTTTTTTACATATATATCTTCACATTTAAAATAAAATAAAAATTCATAAATATACAGTCAACGTACTTGCTTAATGATACAAAACAATAAAAGAAGAAAAGAAAAAAATAACCTCAAATGGTCAGCAAGTACCAAACAGTTTTCTTTTAAATATTGCTGCGTTTGAAGAGCATTTATTATCTGAAGGCAAATTATTAAAAGCCTGTACCTACCCCTTAAAAAAACTGAAATTTGTGTACATTTTTTTTGCTTATTTCATGTATTTTGTTCATAAACATCCTGATTATAACTTAAAATAGTTCTGGTTTCAATTTTTTATCTCTATTCGTTTTTACCTAATGGGCAATTTCCAAATTTTCACTTGTTTTTTATGTTTCTCCCTTAAATGAAAATTACATTTCATTTTAAATCGATGTTCAGAATACTCTATATTGTAAAATAATTTATTAACTTTTCGATAGTTCTATTTAGTTTTATCTTTATTGATTTTTACATAATGGGAATTTTTCAAATTTTCACTTGTTTTTTATGCCTCACTTAAATTAAAATTACATTTCATTTTAAATGGATGTCAAAAATACTCTATATTTTAAAAAAAAGTTCTTCTTTATTCGATAGTTTTAGGTTTAATTTTTTGATTCGTTTTTATATAGCATTTTTCCAAATTTTGTTTCTTCGGAGTTTTTTTTTTCAAAAGGTAATTTGCTCTCGAGTTTTTTTTTCTTGAGAGGTGTTTTTCTCTAGAGTCTTTTTCCCTCGGAATGCCAACAGAATTTGGCGCACCTAAATTCTTCAAGGCATAAGCTTGTTTATTTTGAAAAACATGGATAATCAATTTTTATTTTGAAAAACATGGATGATCAATTTTTATAACAACCTATATCATTGACCCTATCAAATCCACCAGATTAGATTTAATTAGGACTATGGGCCATGTGGCCTCCCCCACCTCGACCTTTTCAGATCTATTGTGGATATCAAATCCACCAGGCCCACAGGGTTGCCATATCAATGCCCACAGCAACCATTTTGTTTGGAATGCCTAATTGTTGGGTGGCACAAAATTGATTTAAAACATTTGATCGAATACATTTGATCGAAAACATTTGACGAATGCATTTGATCGAAAAACATTTTATCGAATAACATTTGATCGAAAAGAAAAATGATCGAAAAGAATAATGATCGAAAATAGATTTGATAGAAAAACCAATTGATCGAAAACATTTGATCGAATGCATTTGATTCTAAAAACATTTTATCGAAAAGAAAAATGATCGAAAAGAATAATGATCGAAAATAGATTTGATAGAAAAACCAATTGATCGAAAAACCAAATATTCATAAAATTATAAAATAATAAGAAAAATGAAAACAAAAATTTTAACTAATTTACCTAACCTGTGTGGCCTAGAATCATCGCTGGTTGGTTCGCAAAAACAAAAAATGAAAAATAAAATAAAGTTAAGTAACGTACCTAACTAACCCAACTTGTGCGAGAGCAATCAGTTGAATTTGAATAGCACAGGTTAGGTAAATTAGTTTTTTATTTTTATAATTTTTTTTGCGAGGTAAACCGCGACGTTTTCAGATTGGAACAATTTAACTGATTGCTCTGATACAGGTTAAGTTAGTTAAGTTTTATAAAAATAAAGAAAAACTAATTTACCTAACCTGTGCGGTCTGGGGGCCTGATTGTTCTGACAGAGCTTAGGTAAGTTAAAAACTTAACTAACTTACCTAAAACTTAACTAACTTACCTAAAACTTAACTAACTTACCTAAAACTTAACTAACTTACCTAAACTGTGTCAGAGTAATCAGTTAAATTGCTCCAGGCCGTATAGGTTAAGTAAATAGGTTAGTTTTTCTTTATTTTTCGCTTTTTTTGTATAATTTTTTTTGCGACGCCACCCTCGAGTGCTCCAGGCCGCATAGGTTAGCTAAATTAGTTAAAGCTTTTGTTTTCAGTTTTCTTATTTTTCTATATTTTTTTTGCAAGGATAACCGCGTAGGATCCAGGCCGCACAGGTTAGGTAAATTAATAATTTTTTTTTATAATAAAAAAAAAACTAAACTAACCCAACATATAAGAGAGAAATCAGTTAAATTGAAATAGCGCTGGTTAGGTAAATTAGGTAAGTTTTTATTTTTCCCATTTTTGTATATTTTTTTTGCGAAGCAACCCTCGAGGGCTCCAGGCCGCACAGGTTAGGTAAATTAGTTAAAATTTTTGTCTGAATTTTTCTTATTTTTCTATATTTTTTTGCGAGGCAAACCTCGACGGCTCCAGGTCGCACAGGTTAGGTAAATTAATAAAAAAATTTATACAAAAAAATCTTAAAATAATTTACCTAAAATGTCCCATCGGGAGCCAACAAATGAAGATAAATAACCGTTTAGCTCTAAAATAATTATTTTTAAATTAACAGTATTGTAAGGATAAAATTTGTTAAACGAGGTAGCTGTCATTTGAGATTATTGAAAAATTTGCCATTAGTACCTAATTTTGATAGCTGCTTAGTTTAGTTTCCCTGGTAGCAGAGCTGTTTAAGATCATTTTAAAAACGATTTAAATCAAAGATCATAAATCATTTGCATTTGAACAAATGATTTAAATCAAAGGTCGATTTAAATCATTTTAGGAAAGATTTAAATCATTTCGAAAGATTTAAATCTTTTCGAAATATCTAAATTTTTTTAAACGAAATAAATATTTTCAAAAGATTTAAATCTTTTTATAGATTTGGGTAACTCTTTAAAAAATGCTTTCGGTAGGCCAAAGATAATGAATACTTAAGTAATGTGATTTTCTTATAAATAAAACGCAAAACTTGATCAACTTTTCTCGTATTTATTTTTTATCGTTATTAGCCCAATGCAATTCTTACGGAAATATTAATTTTAAATAATCAAGATAATATTTTTAAGGATTTATGCAGCATTGATATAGTTATGAAAATTGTTATTTAAAAATGTCATGTCAATTGGTAAATAGGAATTTTTCAACCCTTTAAAAGATACTTTTGGTATGCCTATGATGCCACAAAACAACGAAGACTTAGTTTTTAACAAAAGTGATTTTTTTTCTGAAAAATCACTTAAATCCGTCAACTCTTGCTTAAGTTAACGTGCTTAATGTCATACATATTATATAAACACCCCACATAGATGCACATACATCAGACTTTAAAAATATGTTTTTTTTGTACTCAAGAGACTCTCCCGGAAAAATGCATTTCATTTTTAAAATCTCCCGGCTATGAATAATGAAATTGACTGGGTTGAATTAAAAGAGTTCTTCTCTCAACGTGAAGTTATTGCGAGTAAATAAATAACCAAAGTGAGCGCGTTTGGGTTAATTTTTTTGAAAAATGTGTGGATGAATTAGGCAAAGAAATAAAAAAATTAATTAATTTGCTCTATCTATGCCAAGCGTGTTTATTGAACTGGTCAAAAAGTCATAATCGTCTTAATGCAACTCATGTCAAATCTGAAATAAAAGTGTGCATAAATTTAAAATACATAATATGTTAAGAGTTTCAGGATATTGTAAAATTTCATACTTAAAAATAATCTTTAGTCATTGCAATTATTTGTTACACTTTACTATTTTTTGTTTTTCTTTTCTCTCGGATTTCTGATTCAACCCTACTGACATGCTGACTAGATTATTATTCAGGAATAGACAGGTTGATAACGATTTTGACGAATCAGGTGATGTAAATCGTTTTAAAAAGATTTAAATCTTTAAATCAATTTAAAAAGATCGCATCATTTTACAGATTTAAATCAATAAAAAGATTTAAATAGTTTTAAAAAGATTTAAATCGTTTTAAAAAGATTTAAATGGTTTTAAATAGATTTAAATCGTTTCAAAAAGATTTAAATCGTTTTAAAAAGATTTAAATCGTTTTAAAAAGATTTAAATCGTTTTAAAAAGATTTAAATCGTTTTAAAAAGATTTAAATCGTTTTAAAAAGATTTAAATCTAATTTTTAAATAAAAAATCAAAGATACTTTTCAAAAAGATTTAAATCATAAATCAAAAATCATTTTTTTAAAAAAGATTTAAAATCAAAGTATTTAAATCAAAAAAAGTATTTAAATCAAAAAATGATTTAAATCTCACTGATAGGTGACAGCTCTGCCTGTTAGTAGGGATTAGACGGACGGTTAAATGGTATCGTTTGATTTTTTGCTATTTTACTATTTTTAATGTTGATTTTCAATATATTGTCCGTTCGATCTAATGAATTTTCGATCTAGTCTTTTCGATAAAATGTTATTCGATAAAATATATCTTCGATCAAATGTTATTCGACCAAATGTATTTTAGATCAAATTTCCAATTCGATCAAATGTTTTTCGATCAATTTTGTGCCACCCCTAATTGTTATTTATCACAACGGACTGTTGAATCCTAAATATAGAATAGCACCATTAATTTACAATGTATTTTTTTTTAAACAGTTATGTTAATAGTTTTACACTGATACCGTTTATCTTTTTTTAGGACAATAAAATTTTTAGCAAACAATTTGACGGTGCTAGAAATTTTACAACAATTTAACAAACATATAAGTTCTAAGGTACCAGAAGAAACTCTTTCATCGCCAGCTACAGCTAAACTTGAGGCCAAAAGGAAGGGCAAGAGGTGATCAACTATGGGAAACAATAAAAAAGACTTCCACCTTAAACTTATTGAACATGTTTACGATAATATTCCGGCATTCACAGATATTTTTACAGAGGAGACTTTTTATATTTTTGCCATTACCGTTGTTATTAGTACTATTATTGCTGTGTTTATTATTTCTAGGTTTGTTACCTTAAAAGAAGTTGATATTTAAATTATTTTAGATAAAAATTGTGATTAAAACTGTTTTCTTTTTAATACATTTTAAAGCTTTCATTCATGTAGGCGTTTTAGAAAAGTATCTTTAACCCTTAAGTTGGCAACGTATCCTATAGGATACATCAAAAGTATGCAAATATAAATACAATTGTTCAATGCCTATATGCATTCTGGGTAGTATACATACATTTAGAACCATTATGGTCCATGAATTTGTCAATACGCTTGCTGTCAGATGATTTTAATTTAAGTTACAAAGTGACAACTTTCATAGTGATATACATGTTTAATAATTATTTATAATCCATAAATACATGCGATTGTCCGGTTCCGCCGATAACAATTTAAAATTACTTATTCTATTAAACGACACTGGCAGGTAAACATTACTGTGAAATTCTCGGAGCCGCCCGACGTGGTTTGACGTTTACCCCCTCTCTACCTACCAAAAGACTTTTCAACTTTTACTTTCTCTATACAATAGTATTTTTTAAAAAATATTTTTAGGTTAGGTTATACAGCGAGATGTCTGATTGAATAAATTAATAATTAAAACACATGTAAGACAATTATTAACTAAACAACACAAAATAGTTTTTACAAGCACAAACAGTTAAAATTTTTTTAAAGAATATAACGTTAATTACCAATGAAAAGTAAAAATGAGATTATCAGACTCCCATGACATCTATCTAGATTTTAACGAATTAGTGCAGTAAACTGTAAATTTTAAATTTAGCGGATAAATAGTGTACTAAAAAAGGTGTTATTTACTGAAAGTGAGTATAGGTGGCGGTGGCACAATTTATTGATAGTAAAAACGTTGTTATTATCTTCATACAACGGTAAAAATATTAAATTGGGAATGAGAAAGTAAAAAATACTAATAAGAAAAATAGAACACTAAACAAGAAAATATGAAAATTCATATGTAAAAGTGAAAATTGAAGCAGATAATCAAAAGAAAAATTACTGTTACAGGAAAACGGAAACTAAGTTGACAAGTACGAATGTCAAAAAAGAAAAGTCAAATTTTGGCGTATGACAACCAAGTGGGAGAATTTGAATAGCCAATTAAAGGAAACATTTAATATGAATGCACAAATTCAATTTATTAGTACCCCAACGTTTTCTGCTCTTATTTAAATTAATTTCTGACCTGTACCCCCACTCATTTGATCTTCAATCAGTTACTTACCACAAATTAATGAACTCTCTCCCAATAGTCCCAATTTAGATTTTCTTCCCCGTTTCCATTAATTTTTGCCCACTCGCATCTTTCATTAAACTATTTACTCGAAATTGTTATTAACATCTATAAAATAATTTTGTACGCCAATGTATCGCGTCCACTTCGGGGAGATCCGCTGCCAACCTGTCAATTTATGAGTATAAAGTGGGAGAACTGGCAAAAGCATTTCCAACTTTTACTTCTGTTCTAGGTATTACATGACTTTTTTAACTCGTTTGTTAAACTTTATGTAGCACTTCCTTTATGGAAATAGTCAAGGTGAGTCAAGGTCATTGTTTAATTTTCTTTTGTGTTTTTTCTGTTATTTTGTATATGTTAATGTCCGTTCATACTTTTATAATTGTTTTTATTACAACTGACTCCTTGACATTCCATTTATAGGTGTGCCTGATGATGAAGTAATAGCTTCGAAACCAGTCGCCAATTAAAATTGACTTGTGAGAAATAAAGGACCTTTTCTTTAACCCCTTATACTTAATGTCAGATGTAAATGTTCCTTTACATTAAATTTCTTTATAGAATTGTCGTTTCCGAGCAGCATACAGTGTCGGCCACTGAATGTTTTCCAATAGGCTTTGCACAAGTCCATATGAAAATTACATATCATTAGCGCCAGCAGAAAACGAATAATATCAACGTTGCCAGTTTATACGTGGCAACAAAACAATTTGCTCAACGAAATATCCGTTTCAACAATGCAATATATGGCAAAAAAGGAAGATGCCGTTTATGTCAAAATGGCCAAACTGCAATTATTTTCCAACAAATGCAACGTCAGACTTTGTTTAGTGAATTCAAAGAATTGCTACCTAACATTCTATAATAAATGAAACTTCAATAGATATAGAAATTAAATATTTAAGTAAAATACAAATTTGTTATATATTTGGCAACGTATTCTATAATATACACGTATTTTTTTTTTAAATATCAAGTAAAATTTTTTTGAAGTTGACATCTTATTTTATAACCGTTATTTAGTAGTTTTTCAATAAAAAAATATTTTTTTGTAATAACAATTTCTGTTACTGCCAACCATGGAGGTATAATATTAATGGCGATGCCATGAGGCAATTGTTTTGCATATGATACGTTTTATTAAAAATTACCCCACTGGGCGTGGCTTAAATGGTTGACTAAGCAGGGTCGTATTCAAATATAATTAAAGTCCGTATGCAGAATTACAACTTTTAAATGACTTACTTACCTAAGATTTGTTTCAACATGATCGATTCTAAATTAATTTGATGACGTTGCGTAATTATGACTTCTACACTATTTACTATTATTTATTAACCGTTTTCCGACCAAGCCAGAATTGCAATACAGTACAAGCGCGGTATTATGAACAGACATGCAAATGTCCATAAATAATAGTAATTATACTCACGCTCAACGGGACGGAGCTTTATGGGAAAACGACCAAAGATATAAAAAATTCGTTTGGGAGGAATACGTAGTTTACAGACGGCTACAATTTAAAATTTGTTAGATGTATACAGGATGTCCCACATAAATGAAAAAAAATTAGTTCATTCAAAATTATTCAAACAAGAGTAAACAATTAATTTCTGGGAGACTTTTTTCCTTAAAAATTCAAATAAATCGAAAACTAATAATAATAGTAATAGGGAACCTTTAGTTAACTGACATTATTTTTGATGTAGTTTTTAATTCTAAAATAAAAAACAGGGTGTTCCAATAAAAATAATATAACTTTGTATATTTTATCTTATGTGGGACATCCTGTATACATCTAACAAATTTTAAATTGTAGCCGTCTGTAACCTACGTATTCCTCCCAAACGAATTTGTTATATCTTTGGTCGTTTTCCCATAAAGCTCCGTCCCGTTGAGCGTGAGCCACCCTGTATAGCAAATTATTAAAAATTACGCGATTGTGGCTAATAGTACCGTTCAGATATTTCCAATCCCAGATAACAATTATACATTCTTAGCATATTCTCAGTATATACTTTTTAAGAATACGCATATGCTGAGAATATACTGTATTTGCATTTGGTACATTCTCAGAATATGCTAAGCATATGCTACGTGACGTTGTTTATACGTGCTATGCAGATACTGAGAATGTACTTCAAGTATGTGTACAGTATGCAACAGGTATCTACTTTAATTTGATAGTACGTTCTAAGTATATGCTAAGTATGTAAATATAGCATATGCTAGGCATATACTAGACACCTTAATACAGGATGTTTAATTAATATTGAACATTAAAGTGTATATAATGAGTCTTTATTTCAAAGAATTCATACTTATTTTCATTACAAATACTATCTTTGGCCTTAAGCAATCAATATTTTATTGTATCAATGGCTTGAGTTTCATTTGTTTGATTCCATTGGATCTTAATTGAACCTAAAAAATTAAAAAAAAATTAACAAACTTGGTACATATACAAATTAAGTGTACATAGCTAATGAAATATTTTAAATATTTTTGTCGAATATAAAACATTAAAAATTGTACATGACATTGCACTAACAAAAACAAGAGTTACATAAATGATTATGATGTTTACTGAAAGTTTAAATATATTTTTGTTAATTACTTACCACCATTTTGCAGTTTTCGTCCTCTTTTAGCTAACTTTTCTAGTTGTTCCAGGTCAATATCTGGCCTTACAGGATTTTTTCATAGAAAGTGTGTATGTAATTCTGGTAACACTGTATTTTAGTTTCAATCCACCATTAGTATTAACTATAGGTATTTTCCTTTGCATTGAAAGTGTAGCACTGGCCTACACCAATTCTGAAAATATCGTTCCATATATACAAATTGTATGGATGGAACGATATTTTCAGAAGTGACGTAGCTCAGTGCTACAATTTCGATGCAAAGGAAAAGACCTTATATTAATAAATTCACACTGGCAATTAATATTTGGGATATCCTGTATTCTAACGTCACTTATAGGTCCTAAAAACTATAAATATAGTAAAATTTGTTTATTTTCATATAGAACATACGATGCAATTAATTTTTATTGACTTACCTCTTACAAAAAAACGAGATCAAAAAATTTGTAGGAATTGTAGGTTATGCTATTCTTCTTCTTTTCTTCTATTTTAGTTTGAGAATGTTTTTTGGCCTAAACATTCAACATTAGTGCGTTTAGTAGCAAATTATTAGATCGGCATCTGGGAAAAATTCGGCTCTATCAAGCTAGCGGGCACTCTGTGGCGGCACCATTCAAGACCTGGCGGGTTTTTTTGTAGCTTTTATGTAGCTTTTTTGTTACGCTATTTGCGAATTTGTAGCTTTGCCCAGGTCCGAAAAAACAGCGGATCCGCTAGCTTGAATTTCCATAAATTCCATAGTAGCGGCACAGATTCAGACCCAGCTGGTTTTTCGTAACTTTTTTGTAGCTTTTTTGTTACGCTAGTCTCCCTTTTGTAGCTTGTACTGAACCTGAGAAAAGCGCGGATCCGCTAGCTTAGCGGATATTTGTAGCGGCACCAGCTCGGACCAGGCTCATTTTTTGTAAGTTTTTTGTAGCTTTTTTGTTACGCCTGTCTCCATTTCGTTGCGAGGCCTGAACGTGAGTAATAATCGTTTCTCCATGAGCGTGAGAGAAAAGTGCGTTAATTTAAAATCAAGTTTCAGCCTCTACAAGTGATATGTGCAACTCGATACTGTGACTATCTGTTGCTAGATGGCACCAGTATTGCATTTCACGAATTATGGCCATCTTCCATCCAATATATTTTTGAGAAATTTAGATATAATCTCA